TGAAATGACCCCACCATCTGGTAGTCATTCCATCATCTCGCTGGCCACAGTAAGACTACATGATTATTTAGTTTCTTGCCACTACCACCCCTAACACCAAAAAAGATCCCGGGAGAATGTGTCATGCGTTTCTGTTTTCCCTCTTCTCTTCACACCTATTGAGTGGTTGGAATACCTTTACTTTACTGTGCTACACTTGCATGCCATTAGTCAAATAAGTAAATGTTATCAATGTGAATCTTTTACATTTTCAGAGAAAGAAAGAAATGGGGAATATTTTTAAATTTTGTCAGTTTTCTCCCATTAAAAGCATAAAGCTGAAAGGCAAATAACCAAACTGAATTAGTAGAAAAGTTTAAATATCTTACCTACATATGTGAATACAACTGCCTATATAGGAAACGGAAAATCCAAAACAGAAATACAATACTTAAGAAAACTACTCAAATGTTTTAATACATAAAGAACATATATTAGAAGTAAAATGAAAAAATAAATAAATAAAAAGGGAGGAGAAGAGAGGGTAGAACCGGGGGGGGAGGGGGGAGTGGGAAGTATCATTACATTCTTAAAACTGTATACATGGGGGTGGTCATTGTGGCGCAGCAGGTAGCCATCACCTGCAACAATGGCATCCCATATGGGTGCCAGTAAAAGTCCTAGTTGCTCTACTTCAGATCCATCTCCCTGCTAATGGCCTAGGAAAAGCAGAAGAAAATGGTCCAAGTATTAGGGTTCCTATCACTCATGTGGGTGACCCACATGAAGCACCTGGCTCCTGGCTCAAGGGTTGCAGACACTTGGGGAATGAACCAGTAGATGGAAGACCTCGCTCTCTCCCTCACTCTCTCTCTCTTCCTCTGTCTCTCCCTCTCTTTCAAATAAATAAATAAATCTTTTTAAAAAATGAAATTTATTCCCTTTAAGAAAGTTCATGAAAAATGCATATTATGAAAAAAGTATGCATGAAGATTTCAAAAATTTTGTATCAAAACAAGCTTATTTTTAATTCCATAAAAAAGTATTCGTTGCAGAATTCAAGTATTTTAATTACAAAATTTAAATTACAGTATTTAAATTGCAAAATCTAAAACAAGACTAAAAAAGGACATAATTCAGTCAGAGATCACTATCAATTCAGTGGCTGGGTATTTAGAAAGAATTTATAAATTTAAAAAAATTTTTAAGAATAAAGCACGTGGGGGCCGGCGCCATGACACAGTGGGTTGCCTGCGGCAATGGTTCTAGTCCCGGCTACTCCACTTCCAGTCCAGCTCTCTGCTATGGCCTGGGAAAGCAGTGGAAGATGGCCTGGGTCCTTGGGCTCCTGCACCCGAGTGGGAGGCCAGGAGAAGGCACCTGGCTCCTGGCATCAGCGCAGCTCCGGCCATTGCAGCCATTTGTGGAGTGAACCAATGGAAGGAAGACCTCTCTCTCTCTGTCTCTCCCTCTCACTGTCTGTAACTCTACCTCTCAAATAAAAAGAATAAAGCATGTGGTGCTGGCGCTATGGCGTAGCAGATAGAAGCACTGTCTGCAGTGCCGGCATCCCATATGAGCACTGGTTCGAGTCCCAGTTGCTCCACTTCCGATCCAGCTCTCTGCTACGGCATGGGAAAGCAGTAGAGGACGGCTTAAGTGCTTGGGCCACTGCACCCACATGGGAGACCATGAAGAAGATGCTGGCTCCTGGCTTCGGATCAGCCCAGCTCTGGTCATTGCGGCTAACTGGGGAGTGAACCAGCGGATGGAAGACCTCTCTCTCTCTTTCTCCTCTCTCTGTGTAACTCTGACTTTCAAATAAATAAATAAATCTTAAAAAAAAAAAAAGAAAAAGTAAAAGACTACAGCTTGCTGGGGCAGGCACTTGACCCAGCAGCTGAGACACTAATTAGGACACCGACATGCCATACAGAAGTGCCTGGTTGGATTCCTGCCTCCACTTCCTGCCCAGCTTTCCTGCTACTGCACACCCTGGGAGATAGCATGTGGTGTCTCAAGTCACCATGGCTCCCTGTTACCTGCAAGGGAGGCCCCTACTGAGTTCCAGGCTCCTGGCTTTGGCGTGGCCAGGCCCAGCTATTGTAGGCATTTGGGAAATGAATCAGCAGATGCAAGATTTCTCTATTTCTCTTTCAAGCAAAATGAAGATAAATACAATTTTAAAAGAAGGTTTTTTACAAAAGAATAAGGTATGCTTTATTCAGTATTTATGTCCTAGAAAAATGCAGTCAAAAAATAATAAAATTGAGGCCAGCGCTGTGGGGCAGTGGGTTAACACCCTGGCCTGAAGCACCAGCATCCCATGTGGGCTCCAGTTCTAGTCCCAGCTGCTCCTCTTCCGATCCAGCTCTCTGCTATGGCCTGGGATAGCAGTGGAAGATGGCCCAAGTCCTTGGGCCTCTGCACTCACACGGGAGACCCGGGAGAAGCTCTTGGCTCCTGGCTTCGGATCGGCACATCTCCAGCCATTGCGGCCATCTGGAGAGTGAACCAGCGGAATGGAAGACCTCTCTGTCTCTACCTCTCTCTGTAACTCATCCAAATAATCACATATCTATTTGATGTGAAACTTTGTTCTCTTTTCTTATACCTAGAAAACATAAAGAAAATAATTTAGTGATAAAAACTTGTGCCTAAAGAAGAGAGAAGGCACACAGCAGCCTTCAAAAATGAGGAATGGTCACAACACAGTTCTGTAGGCTATAAAATAAATCTTTAAAAATAAATAAATAAATAATAAAGTTGACAAATTTACTAAAATACTCAGAACAATTTAAGGTTTTGGAGTCTTTTCTTGATCTTTATAGGCTTTTGCTTTAGGTACTCCTCAAGCAGAGAGCATCCAGGAAAGCCAAGCTGCTCCAGGGAGGCCTGCCTCCTCTGCTGCCTGCGCATATCCCAGTACGCAGTGGGGACTCGACCCTGATCTACCACCTGCACACCTTCCCTGGCTCACAGCCTCAGCTATCACTGCCATTCCAAGAAATGACTTCAGTGCCCAGGGGGCTAGTAAACTAGAGGACACTTCAAAAGACAAGGCGGAGCTGCTGTGACATCAGAAAGTGCGTGCTCTCATGGAACTATCTGGATCCTAAGGTCCTAGCTAAGAACCATCATATTCAAGTCTATCAGATAGCAGACATCCTTCTTTAAAAGTGTTTGATATACCGTAGGACACACTGGGACAGCACTGAAGGTGCATATGATCCCTCTAACACACAAGTATTCAGGAGGGAAAAAAAGTTCATCTTGAAAACAACTACGAAAATGGAGGTGAAAACCAGCGGGCGCTCAGTAACATGCACCAACTTCTCCCTCCTCTTGCAGCAGCAGCTGCCTCACGCAGCTATCTCGAGGACTGCTCACTTCCCCACTGAGCAACTCCTGATGGACCTCAAAGACGGCTCTACAGTTGTGTTGCTTCACACACACACATACACACACCTGCGCTCTTCAAATGGCTAAAAATTATAAAAATCTAAAAATTTTACTTGAAAGCCAACTTGGATTCCATTCTTTAAAGAATGATGCTGGAGGCCGGCGCCGCGGCTCACTAGGCTAATCCTCCGCCTTGCGGCACCGGCACACCGGGTTCTAGTCCTGGTCAGGGCGCTGGATTCTGTCCCAGCTGCCCCTCTTCCAGGCCAGCTCTCTGCTGTGGCCAGGGAGTGCAGTGGAGGATGGCCCAAGTCCTTGGGCCCTGCACCCCATGGGAGACCAGGAGAAGCACCTGGCTCCTGCCATCGGATCAGCGCGGTGTGCCAGCCGCAGCGTGCCGGCCGCGGCGGCCATTGGAGGGTGAACCAACGGCAAAAAGGAAGACCTTTCTCTCTGTCTCTCTCTCACACTATCCACTCTGCCTGTCCAAAAATAAAATAAAATTAAAAAAAATGATGCTGGAAATGCTCAAATAAATGCAGCCAGGAAAGAATCCTAATGTACTTTAAAAACATTTTCCGAGATAATCATTCCCCAATTTCTCTTACTGAAATTCAAGGAAAGGTCAGAAATAAAAAGCCACTTTGAAAGCAGTGCTCCAATTACCCAGCAGGCTTCAGAAAAGAAGCCATAAGCTCTGTACAAAGGTTTATGGAGGGGAGATGCTCAGATAACCTTGACTGTCCTTTATAGGATGCAGACCTCCAGAAGAGCTGACTCCTTAGGCAATTTTCTCCTGCCAATGCAGCAGATAAGGAAAATCCCAAAGTCTTTGTTTCAGCATCTGGCTGAGATCAAGGTTAAGTTAAAAGTAACAAAACCAGAGACCTATGCAACCCTAGACCTCTAGTGTTATCTGCATTTTAGAACTTAACATATTGCAGGATTTTCGCCCTGTAGAAAAATGTCCCCTTCAATCTAAATTAAGCTGCTATTTTTCTCAATAAGAGAGAGCCCTTTTACAGTTGATTCAAATGTCTGAGAAATGTTCACTAAAATCTTAGGACAGTCCTAGAACAGAACTCTATTTCTGCCTAGGAGTAATCAAGTTCAACTGCTGTAAGATAAACAGTAATACAACTTCAGCAAATGTCAGTCAAAGTTAATCATTCAAACATCTCTTCACAGGTTGGCTTAAACCTGGCATTCCAAATTATGCAGCAATACCTAAGAATTAGCACGATTCTTGGTTGGGACATGGGCTGAAGTATTAATTTCCATAAGATTTTTTTAAAACACAGAAGAATTTTTAACACTTTATCATGGAATAAACAGATAGCAGAAAACATGCTTCTTAAGTGGCCAGAAAAAGAACTGAACTATTTTATCCATAAAGACGCCACTATTGAATGCAAAAATCAACCACAAAAACTAAACAAGCCTTTCCTATCTTCTTTTCCATTTCTGCCTCTCTGTAATAAAACAAAAAGGGAAAGCCAATCGGAAGAAATACAGCACTCACATTGGGGAAAAAAAATCTAATTCAGCTAAAAACAGCAGGTCTTATAAGAATCAGAGTTTGAGTGATATTCCCCTCTGTTATTAATCCACCAACTCACCTTATCACACTTCAAAGTTTGCAGTCAGTCTTGCTTTTGAAGTCCAACATGAGGTAATCTCTCAAACCTAAATAAAAATAATCATGAACTTTAGTGTATGAGTTGTTTTCAATTTTTGAAAAGCACAAAATTGTAGTTCGTATAAATAATGACAAAAGATCACTGCCATAAATCAAATTATAAAACTTTACTTCCAAAACCCTTTAATGCATAATTTCTTTATGTGCATTTCAATACATATTTAAATTTAAGTCAACCAACAACTGTTCCCCAGTAAACATCAGATTTTTAAACTGGATATTCAATCTTTAGGGAGACTGCTGTTCCAGGACCTATCCCTATCCCCTACCCATCCCGCCCCATAATCTGTTCAAGAAGTGTGGGGAGGACCCTAGGAGCCTGGATAAAGCCCCCACAAAGTGGCTGATGTGCTTGGTCCTTCGCCTGCCTCCAGAACCATTACTGCAAGGCAGTCCTCAACAGGGGGAGATTCTATCCACCCAGGAACTCTGCCAAGGTCTGCAGTCATTTCTGCTGTCACAGTTGGGAAGGGGATATGCTCTGGGCATCTAAGGGTAGAAGCCAGTGACACTGCAAAATAGCAACACTTGGGACAGCACCCAACAACAAGCAATTACCCAGCCCAAAACAATAGCAGTGGTGAGACCCAGAAACCCTGTTCCAAAGCAACCAGACATTCTAATTAGACAGAAATCTCACTGATTCTCACACGGTCTACTTCAGAGAGCGAACAGGCTCCCATCACAGTCAAGAAGTGTTTTCCTATCAACACCAAGTTTCTTAAAGATCAAAGGCACATACCCATCAGTAATGATTTGGAGTATCTATATCTATTTCTAAAAATATTAAAATAAATCACACGGCACGTGTCCAGAGGAGCTTCCAAGAAATTAATTCCTTAACGTTTGCTGAGGTTAAACACTGTTTGACACTACAGTAATTGTCAAGCCTTGTTGCCAGTCATCTGAAATGGAGGCTGAGAAGATTAAGAATCACCGGAACTCAAGTTTCTCTCACAGCTACTTGAGGTTCCTGTTGAAGACAACAGACGAAGCTCCTCTTCTCAGCCTGTCACCCAGTGCCTTAGGATTCCCGTCTTTTATTCAGCCAAATACAAAGGCACTTCGAAAGGTGCTTGAACTACATTCAAAACCCGACTTGCCAAGGCCTATTATGTTCCTGCACTATGACCGGAGAGTACTCAAGAAAGTCCATGGGAAAACAGAATTCAAACTTTATTTTAGTGCAAAAATTTTTTTAAATTTATGCATAGATTTTTCATAATACAAATTTTCTATGAATGTTTTGAAGACTCTGAAGGAAGATATGTAGTTTCAGAATAAAACTACATGGGAAAGAAATCTGTCCATGATATTCTGAGAGTCAGACATCCCAGCCAACAAAACATGCAGCTTTTAGACGATGTGCCTACAGACTACACCCACAGAATGGGTGAAGAAATTTGTAATGTTCAAAATACATGCCTTGGGTTTTTTTTAATATTAATTAATGAGCTATAACTAGTTAATTAGTCAAAGAAGGCATGCCTGGCAGCTGATCTGCACTTGTAATCCTCTTAGGTACATGAATAAGCATGCAAATATTAAACTCAAGTAAAAGGATAGGAGTTATGAACACATTTAGATTGCATCAGAATGACTCTATTCTAATTGGGCAAGATTTCCATATGTGGCTAATTGGTTAATTCAAATTAAACTCTGTTTTCTCCTCTGAATCCTCGGTGGTATACAGCAACTGCCCAAATCAGACTCTATCACACACAACTACCCCGGGAAGCAAGAGGATCTAGGGCAGGAAATAGAGAGGCGCAGGCGGCGGAGGCAGGTCTCTAACCTGGAATTCCCACCCTCGCCTCTGGGACCTTCCCTGAAAGCTGTGCCTACAACAAATGGTGATGGAAAAATCAGCTGAGCCTACTGCCCCTTCAACAAGAGAAAGATGACAACCAGGGGGGAGAGCTCTCATCTAGAGCCCCAGCAATGACCCCGCCAAAGACGACTTCCTGATATCCACCCGGGGCTCCAAGACAGGAAGGCCCACAAGCACCACCGTTCCTAGATTTGAATGGGCCTTCAAATGAAAACTTAAAATTTCAAAACACTTCATTCTGCCCATGCGCCCCAGGCAGTGAAATATATTCTGTTCCAAAAAAAAAAAAGGCTGCTCAATTTCCTGTCAAACAGGGAGAAGGCTGTCTACACCATGAGGGCACCCTGAAAACAACACAATGCAGAAAAAAGCTGTGTGTGGGCGTGTACTGAGTGCCATCTATCCACACCTCTGGGCTTCCAAAAGCTCTTTTCCTCCACCATTCACATCAGCGTAGCTGTTAAGAAGTCTGTCTCCCGCCCTGAGGTGGAGTTAGTCCCACCACAGAAAGGTATGGCGTGGGGCTCATGCATTGTCTTTAACCCATGATTCTCTGTGCCAAAGGAAAGCACAGGTTCCACCACACAGACAATTCTCACCTGCTGTTCTCATACACAGAAGGCAGCTCTGACCACAAGCCTTCTCCCCACTCCTCAGACAGGCTGCACAAATGTCTGGGTTAGGCCCAGTTTGTTCCTAATATGTTTCGTCCTAATCGCCTGAAGCTAACCATTCCCACACACAAACATGAGCTGACCAAATTATGATTTGGTCATAATTATACAGCATTCCATCCACCAATTTCCCCTAACCCTGCTTATACTTTCTGAAAAGTCTGAATTCTAAGCCATCAATCAGCCCAAGTACAGGAAGTAAACTAAAAGCCTACTGAAACATACTAAATACCGTGTAGACACAGTGTGGTGAGAAAAAGCTCACCAGTGAACCGTGAGGAATAGAATGCACAAAGTCACAATTAAATACAGCGCCATCACTGAATTGCAGAACAGCAAAGTGCCCGATTTTTGTAAACCACACATGCTATTCAAAGAAGCAGTTTGTCACAGAGGCAAAACACAGATGAAGGAAAGACATCATGAGCACAGAAAGAGCCTATTAGCAAGAGGAGCACAAATACTTTAAAGACATGGGGTGGGCGTTCGGATTAGTGGTTCACCCATCAGGATGCACAGGTCCCACAAAGAAGGGCCTGGGTGTGGGTCCCAGTTCCTGAGGCCCTCAGCTTCCTGCTAATGCAGATCTCAAGAGGGATCAGTAATGGCTCAAGCAACTGCACCCCTGCCACCCATGGCGGGAGACCTGTATTGAGTTCCCAGCTCCAAGCTTTGAGGCCACCAACCCAGCCTGCTGCAGGCATTTGGGTAGCAAACTGGCAGATGGGAGCATGCTCACTGGTGTGTATTTGCTGACTCTCTCTAATAAAAAATAAAAACCAGCGTACAGAAGAGCAATCAAGATTTAACAGGAAGCCACACTGGTAAGACAGCTGCAAGACAGGACAGTCCACAAAGGAAAATTTCTTTAACATCACCAACTTTTTTTAAGATTTACTTATTTGAAAGGCAGTGACAGGGAGAGATGTTCCATCTACTGGTACACTATCGAAATAGCTGTAACAACAGGGGCTGGGCAAGGCTGAAGCCAGGACTCTAGAACTCCATCTGGGTCTCCCGCATGGGTGGCAGGTGCTCAAATACCTGGGCCATCTTCCGCTGCTTCCCCAGGTGCATTAGCAGCAAGCTGGATCAGAAACGGACAGCCCGGACTTAAACAGGTGCTCTGAGATATGGGATACCAGCATCTCAGGCAGCAGCTTATCCTGCTGTGTCACAACAACACTGGCCCCAAGTCATCAATTCTGGCCACCTCGTTTAGCAAGAGGGGTTGTTTTATTTTATTTTAACAACCAAGTCAACTTTTCACCCGAATACTTGGGAGTAAACAGCAAATATGATGGATGGCTTGTTGCACCAAGTTTAGTGATTTCTATAGACAAAGGTATTCTTTCTTAAAATTAAAATAATGACTGTCAAAATCCAGAAATTAACACTAATGGTATCACCATCTGCTTCAGAGACCTTTCTTGAATTCCTCCCAGTATTGTGCATTTTAGTGAAAGTTCCAGTCCAGGATGTCACATTGCACTTGGTTTTCATATGTCATTAGTCTACTTCAATCTGGAAGAACTCCTCAGATTTCCATGAATTTTCATAATGTTGACAATTCTGAAGATATCAGGCCAATTTTGTAAAATGTTCCTTAATTTTGGTTTGTCTAATGTTTCCTTAGGATTAGATTCAAGTTGCAAATTTCCAGTAGGAATATCATAGAACTAAATGTTCCTGTTACTACATCCTATAGGCAGTACACTATTTCTAAATTTTTCTCTGGTAATGTTCATTTGCATCACTTGATTCTGCTGGTGTAGGCCACAATTCCCCATACACAGTTAGTCCTTCTCCCGTTGTACTAAGTATTGTGCAGGGTGACATTTTAAAACTACAGAAATACCCTATTACTCAACGAACTTTCACCCAGACCTTTTAGTATCCATTGATACTTCTTGCCCAGATAAAATTATTCTTTGATGGCTGCCATAAAGAAACTTTTCTATTCCAATAATGCTTGCCATTTTAGAAGGAAAATGGCATTTAGAAACTGTGATCTGGGGGGCTGGCATTGTGGTGCTGTGGGTTAAGCCACCACCTGCCACAGCAGCATTCAACAGCACAGTACTGCTCTAAGTCCCAGCCGTTCTACTTCTGATCCATCTCCCAGCTACTGCACCTGGGAGAGCAGCAGGTGATGGCACAAGCACCTGGGCCCCTGCCACTCACGTGGGAGAGCCGGCTGGAGTTCCAGGCTGGCTTTGGCCTGTCTCAGCCCTGATTGTTGGGACCATTTAGGGAGTGAGTCCACAGATGTGAACCAGCAGATGGGAGTGCATTCTCTGCCCTCTTTCTCTCTTTGTCACTCTGCCTTTCAAATAAATAAAATACGACTTAAAAGAAAAAAAGAAATTCCTGCCTGCGTGTTCAATTCTAGTTTCCTGCTAATATGCACCCTTGAAGGCAGTAGGTAAATACTTGTGTCCCTGTCACCCATACGGAAGACCTGAATGGAGTTACAGGCTCC